TTCTTGCCAATACACAGCCCTAATGGTGAGATGAGGTTATTAGTGTTGATGGTGAGGTCGTTAGTGTTGGTGGTGAGGTGAGGTCGTTAGTGTTGGTGGTGAGGTGAGGTCGTTAGTGTTGATGGTGAGGTTGTTAGTGTTGGTGGTGAGGTCATTAGTGTTGGATGTGTGGTGAGGTCGTTAGTGTTGGCGGTTTTTGAATGTCCAAATTCAAATTTATTCACATTCACATAGTACATAATTCACATAGTTTTTAGCTACAATATACCACAGTGTGTGAATCAGGTCTCAGAAAAGCTAATGAAAGCTTGTAAAGGAGCCTGAGTACACAGAATCGTGTTTAATTTAAAACAGGTTTCTGCCTGGTGTTTTTGCTGAGTCTGTTTTTAGTCCTCTGCCCATGGCAAACGGGCCTCATGAGCTCCTCACTGTGCTTCGTGGCCCGTCCCGTGGTTCCCGTCCCTACCTCCAGGACACGATGGAGACGGAGGGACGGGGATGGAAACTTCTTTTTTTTAAATAACTCTGAGAAGCAAAACAAACTGTGCCCAGGTCTGCTGAGGGTCTGATGATCCAGTTTTCAGAGGGTTTTTATGTTTAACCAGGACGTTGGACCAAAATATAGAAATCTAATCAGTGTATCATGTAGACAGGATGTGGAAGAAGGTTGGAGAAGATAAAAGTGATGTTTATAAGTTCTGTATCTCTCTGTAGGATGAGCTGAGTGAGGGTTCAGGTTTAGTTCTGACTCATCAAATTTTAAATTTATAGTTAACTCTTTAGGTTTTCCTCCCAGTGATCCAGACCTTTTCTGTAGCCCTTTAAACAGACTTGGATCAACAGTTCTTCAGACCTTCTGGAGGTCTTTTAAAAGGGTTCTTGTTGGACTTGAAGTTCCAGTTTTTCAGCTTTGAACTATGTATCAATCAGGTGTAAAAAAAGTCTCTTAACCTGAGAGCTGTGTCCATCAGTAAAACACGGCGGAGGTTTCGTCATGGTTTGGTTCTGTTTGAAAATACTAACRATATTTAAAAGAAGGAAGATGGCAGGATGGATCTGAGCGCCCATGTTTAATTTGTTGTTTGTTTAAAGACTGGGTGAATAATTAAAACACATCTTGTGGTTTTTAGTCCCACTTTCATTTTCTGATTTTTAATTAAAGCAAGCGGTGTAAGCATGAAGCCATGAAGGAAGTAGTTGTGGAGGAATGTCGTCGTCCTTCCAGCGTCTCTTCCTCAGGGGCTCTTTGAACGTTTCACCTCCAGCACTTGTCTTTATCTGAGCATCAAACAGGAAGTTCACAGTTTTTACTGAAACCAGAGGAGCGTGGTGCTCCGTCTGTGTCACTGCTGCTGTTTGAGAAGGATAGAATAACATCACGATTACTCATCCAGGCTCCGAAGCTGCGAGTTGGAAACCGCTCCGATGCCCAACCCTGCCTCTGAATGAGAGGAATTTTCTGCTTCTTCTCTGGAAGTTTAGAGTTAAAAACTGGGTAAAGAAACAACTTTGTTTTGGATGTAAGTGATGGAGTTTGAGCATCTTTTTACATCAGGAAATGATGACGTCAGCAAGAACTTTAAATTCATGATTTGTTGGATAAACAACAACAAAGAGGTTCAGATCAGGACGTCTCTTCAGGAAAGGGACCCTCCAGAACTCTTGGAGGGACCAGATCTTCTCTCTGGTCTGGGGAGGAGGAGTTCCTGGGCTTTTATTTTATTTTTGGTTTGGTTTGAAGATCAYCACAGTTGCTGCTGTTCACCATGTGTCTCGTTCTGCTCAGCTGTTTTTATTATTAATGATTTTAAAAAGTCTCTAACCTCTACCAGGTGTTCAGGCTCCAGTTCACCTTTTGGTTTCCTGTCGTTAGTTTAACAATTCTGCGTTCTCTCATAGCGTTACAGAGCTTTAACTTTAAAGTGGTGTTAGTTTTAGTTTGTTTGTTGTGATTTTATTACCGGTAGTTGATTTATATTAATTTAAATCCAGTTGCTGAAGGAAAGACCACATGCAGCTGCTGCTATAAATCAGAACAAATCACTGAGCATGTCTCCAGCTCTGTGGTGTTGRGAGCAGAAACCTCCTCCTCTAATTGAATATAAGTCTGAGGTCTGCTGGCAGCTGTCTGGATGAGCGTGCACGTGTCTGCGAGGGTTTGATCATCACTTTCAGCTGGTTTCATGAAAGAACAGTTTATAAACTGTTCAGGCAGGAAGAAGTCGTGCTTTTGTTCTTAAAATAAACTCAAAGTCATCAGGACTTTGGAACATCTGCAGAAAATATCAGATTTTCATTCAAAGTTTAACAAGTTTTTAAACTTTAATATAGTTAAATATGCACCTGTTGATTGTTTGCACAGTTTTTGTGTTTTTGAGGTTAGAAACGGAGCATATTTTAACCYGGGATAAGAAGGAAAGCACCAGTCTTCCCTCATAGGGACAAATTAGAAGGTAAAGAACAACAAAGTGCAGGTTTTAGAGCAGCCGTCACACAGACCTGATCTTCAGATCTTGACTCAGACTCGTTCTATCTGGAGGAACTAATGAAAAGCTCGTAGCAGCAAACTCTGAACATTTCATCCAAATCATACAGTTTGAAGGCAACGCTACCAAATACTAAGAACATTGATGGAAACGTGTGAGGAAAATACTCCAAAATAAAAGCCTTTGAGTTTACCTGAGCTAAAATGTATTGTAAGGGTGTGGATTTGTTTTGTTTCCAGGTGGCTCTGCTGGGGTTGGACCTCCTCTCAGCCTTAGTGACGAGGCTACAGGACAGATTCAGGGCTCAAGTGGGAACAGGTGAGGTCCAGCTTTATGTTTTATTAAAAACAAACACAATAAACACTTTTTTAACGTTATGACATTTTAAGAGTTTTATAAATATATGAATGTTTTTTGTTGTGATCGGATTGACTTTTTCTAAACTTTTCGTCCCATTTGAAAATTCAATAAAAGTTAAAATCTCATTATTGAAGTTTTAACTTAGRATTAATTAATTAATTAATTCTAATTTTACTAACGCGTGAGTTCACTCCTCCCGATGCTAAGAAAACAGGAGGGGAGGGGTCAGTCGAGCCCCCTGTGCACCGGAGCACAGAGAGGGAGAGACGAAAGTAAACAAGAAGGCAAATGAAAATTATCTTCCTCATTTTTTTATTGACCTCAAAATAATTTATCATATGAATAATTGATTTATTGACTATCGTGACAGGCCTAGCTAGTCCTGGGTTTGGACCTTGGCTTGACCCTGGTTTGGACCTTGGTTTGACCCTGGCTTGGACCTGGTTTGATCCTGGCTTGGACCTGGTTTGACCCTGGTTTGGACCTGGTTTGGACCTGGTTTGGACCTGGTTTGACCCTGGTTTGGACCTGGTTTGGACCTGGTTTGACCCTGGTTTGGACCTGGTTTGACACTAGTTTAACCCCCCTGGTTTGGACCTGGTTTGACCCTGGTTTKATCCTGATTTAGACCTGGTTCGGMCCTTGTTTGGACCTGGTTTGACCTTGGTTTGGACCTGGTTTGACCCTGGTTTCGACCTGGTTTAGACCTTGTTTGGACCTTGGTTTGACCCTGGTTTCGACCTGGTTTCGACCTGGTTTGACCCTGGTTTGGACCTTGTTTGACCCTGGTTTGGATCTGGTTTGACCCTGGTTTGGACATGGTTAGGACCTGGTTTGGACATGGTTAGGACCTGGTTTGACCCTGGTTTGGACATGGTTAGGACCTGGTTTGACCCTCGTTTGGACCTGGTTTGACCCTGGTTTGGACCTGGTTTGACCCTGGTTTGGACATGGTTTGGACCTGGTTTGACCCTGGTTTGGACCTGGTTTGACCCTGGTTTGGACCTTGTTTGACCCTGGTTTGGACCTGGTTTGACCCTGGTTTGGACCTTGTTTGACCCTGGTTTGACCCTGGTTTGGACCTGGTTTGACCCTGGTTTGGACATGGTTTGGACCTGGTTTGACCCTGGTTTGGACCTGGTTTGACCCTGGTTTGGACCTTGTTTGACCCTGGTTTGACCCTGGTTTGGACCTGGTTTGACCCTGGTTTGGACCTTGTTTGACCCTGGTTTGACCCTGGTTTGGACCTGGTTTGACCTTGGTTCGGACCTGGTTTGACCCTGGTTCGGACCTGGTTTGACCCTGGTTCGGACCTGATTTGACCCTGGTTCGGACCTGGTTTGACCCTGGTTCGGACCTGGTTTGACCCTGGTTTGGACCTGGTTTCCTCCCATAGACCAAAGACGTACATTACTTTTCTTCAGGTCCAGGCCTCTCCTAATAAAATGACCTGTGATCTCTGGGATTAACCTGGTTAAATAATTATGTTTACCTGGTTAAATAACTCTGTTTACCTGGTTAAATATCTCTGCTTACCTGGATAAATATCTCTGCTTACCTGGATAAATAACTCTGTTTTCCTCTGTCAGTTCTGCCAAGCCTTATCGATCGTTTGGGCGACGCCAAAGACCAAGTTCGAGAACAAGACCAAACGTTGCTGCTAAAGATCATGGAGCAGGCTGCGTCTCCACAGGTACCTGCAGAGCTTTATGGTCAGGACTGGGGTTACATGTCTCTATAGAGGTTCATGGTCAGGACTGGGGTTACAGGTCTCTATAGAGGCTCATGGTCAGGACTGGGGTTACAGGTCTCTGTAGAGGTTCATGGTCAGGACTGGGGTTACAGGTCTCTATAGAGGTTCATGGTCAGGACTGGGGTTACAGGTCTCTGTAGAGGTTCATGGTCAGGACTGGGGTTACAGGTCTCTATAGAGGTTCATGGTCAGGACTGGGGTTACAGGTCTCTGTAGAGGTTCATGGTCAGGTTACTGGGGTTACAGGTCTCTATAGAGGTTCATGGTCAGGACTGGGGTTACAGGTCTCTGTAGAGGTTCATGGTCAGGACTGGGGTTACAGGTCTCTATAGAGGTTCATGGTCAGGACTGGGGTTACAGGTCTCTGTAGAGGTTCATGGTCAGGTTACTGGGGTTACAGGTCTCTATAGAGGTTCATGGTCAGGACTGGGGTTACAGGTCTCTGTAGAGGTTCATGGTCAGGACTGGGGTTACAGGTCTCTATAGAGGTTCATGGTCAGGACTGGGGTTACAGGTCTCTGTAGAGGTTCATGGTCAGGTTACTGGGGTTACAGGTCTCTATAGAGGTTCATGGTCAGGACTGGGGTTACAGGTCTCTGTAG